AAATAGGCTGAAAGAATTCATGTCCACAAAACCAGCCCTTCAGAGAGTTCTTGAAACAATACAAAGAGCTGAAGAAAGGAACAACTATACCTAAGGGGTTACAGAAAGAAACTCAATGAAGGTGTAACTGTGGAAATGCACAGCTATATCTAGAATGTGAACAGAAATAAAAATGACAGGAATCAGTGCACATCTTTCATTAATAACTTTAACTATCAAAGGACTGAACTCCTCAGTCAAAAGACACAGACTAGTTGAATGGATTAAGAAACAAAACCCATCTTTTTGTTGTCTGCAAGAAACTCATCTCACTTTCAAGGACAGGTACTACCTTAAGGTGAAAGGATGGGAAAAAATATACCAAGTGAATGGTACTAAGAAAAAAGCAGGCATTGCAATTCTAATAACTGATAAAATAGACTTTAATTAGAAGAGATAAAGAGGGTCACTTCATTCTGATCAAAGGAACAAAAGACCAAGAAGATATAACAATTGTGAACATATATTCACCAAACTGTGGTACACCCAACTTCATAAAAACAGTTCTACAGGACTTTAAGACCCAGATTAATCCCAACTCATTAATAGTAGAGGACTTCAATGCCACATTGTCTCTATTAGATAGGTCAACAGGACAGAGAATTAACAGAGAGACATCTGAATTAAACAATACCATACATCAAATGGGCCTAACAGACATCTACTAAATATTCCACCCAAGGGCCAAAGAATATGCTTTTATTCAGTGCCCCATGGAACTTTCTCCACAATCAACCATATACTGGGGCACAAAACAAACCTCAACAAATAGGAAAAGATTGAAATAATTCCATGCATTCTATCACACCACAATATAATAAAGCTTAAAATCAATCCTGGGAGAAACCCTAGTAACTACATGAACACATGTAGGTTAAACAACACACTCCTGAATGAGGAATGGGTAAAAGAGAAATTAAGAAAGAAATAAAAATATTCCTGGAATTAAATGAAAAGGACAGTACAACACGACAAAACCTCTGGGACATGCTGAAAGTGGTCCTTAGAGGGAAGTTTATAGCTCTAAGTGCCTACATCAAAAAAAAAAACAGAAAGAACACAAATAAATGACTTAACATTGCAACTCAAGACACTTGAAAAGAAACAACAAATGAAACCCAAACCCAGAAGACAAGAATAACAAAAATCAGAGGCGAAATTAATGAAATATAAACAAAGAAAACAGTACAAAGAATCAACAAATCCAAGAGCTTGTTCTTTGAAAAGATAAACAAGATTGACAAACTGCTAGCACACTTAACCAAAAGAAAGAAAGAGCACCTCCAAATCAACAAAATCAGAAATGAAAGGGAAAGCATCGCAACAGACACCAAAAAGATCCAGAACATTATAAGGGAATACTTTAAAAACCTATACTCTACTAAATTGTAAAAACCTAAAAGAAATGGATGGGTACCTAAAGGCATGGGAACCACCAAAACTAAACCAAGAAGAAATTAACAACATAAACAGATCCATAACACATAAGGAAATTAAAACAGTAATACAAAACCTCCTGACTGAAAAAAGCCCAGGACCTGATGGATTTGCAGCAGAATTCTATCAGATATTTAAAGAAGATCTATATCCAATACTACTTAATTTATTCAAAAACATAGAAATGGAGGGAGAACTTCCAAATTCCTTCTATGAAGCCAGCATCACTCTAATACCAAAGCCAGGTAAACATACAACCGAAAAAGAAAACTATAGACCCATATCCCTAGTGAACATAGATGCAAAAATTCTCAACAAAATACTTGCAAACCGCCTATAGACAAACATCAAAAAGATCATCCACCACGATCAAGTCAGCTTTATCCAGAGATGCAGAGATGGTTCAATATACATATGTCAATAAATGTCATATATCATATAAATGGACTCAAAGACAAGAACCACATGGTCATCTCAATAGATGCAGAGAAGGCCTTTGACAAAATTCAACATGCATTTATGTTCAAAGTCCTAGAGGGAATTGGACTGGAGGGAACATAGCTCAACATAATTAAAGCCATATATAACAAACCCACAGCCAACATCATTCTAAATGGAGAAAAACTGGAAGCATTCCCATTAAAATCAGGAACCAGACAAGGCTGTATACTATCTCTACTCCTTTTTAACATAGTGCTTGAAACTCTTGCAAGAGCAATATGACAAGAGCAGGAAATTAAAGGAGTAATAATTGGAAGAGATCAAATTATCTCTTTTTGCAGATGATATGATATTATATCTAAGAGATGCCAAAAATTGCAACAGAAAACTCCTAGAAATTAGTAATACATTCAGTAAAGTGGCAGGTTACAAAAGTCTGTAGTCTCCTATCTACCAGTAACAAGAAAATCAGAGAAAGAGTACATGGAAACACTTTTTTTCACAATAGCTGCAAAAAAATAATAAAATATCTCAGAATAAACCTGACCAAAGACATTAAAGAATTCTACAATGAAAATTTTAAAACTTTAAAGAAAGAGATTGAGAAAGACATCAGAAGATGGAAGGACCTCCCATGCTCATGGATTGGAAGAACTAATATTGTGAAAATGGCCATCCTACAAAAATCCATTTATAGATTCAAAGCAAGGCCAATCAAAATCTCTATGACTTTTTCACAGAATTGGAAAAAAACATCCTAAGATTCATATGGAAGCACAAAAGACCTCAGGTAACCTTGAGCACTAAGAGCAATGCTGGGATGATTACTATACCAAATTTTAAACTGTATTACAGAGCTATAGTCATAAAAACAACATGTTACTGGCACAAAAATAGACCTGCAGATCAATGGAACAAAAGACCCAAATATGAGTACATGCAATTTCAGCCACCTGTTATTTGACAAAGGGGCCAAGAACATTCACTGAAGGAAAGATAGCATGTTCAGCAGATGGTGCTGGCAAAACTGGATCTCCACCTGTAGAAGAATGAAACTAAACCCCTATCTTTCACCTTACACAAAAGTAAACTCCAAATTGATCAAGACCTCAATGTGAAGCCTGAAACTCTGAAACTTAGAAGGAAACATTGGCAATAACCTATAAGATATAGGTATAGGAAAGGATTTTCTAAACTGAACA